TTGGGTGGTGTAGGACCGGCGGGATTACATTGGTGCCGTGACCTGGATGGGAGTGAGGTTTAGGGAGTGTGAGTGTAACAGAGGCCAGCTAGTGAAGTGCTGTGCAGGTAAACTTCACTCCTCTGACCTCTAAAAGGTGCTCTAGTGACGGACACTAGAGGCCAAGGTCTTTAGCCTCCTTGTTAGAGCAACTGACTCCTATGCGAAAGGGTTGCCGGTTCGATCCCAGATTGAAGCAGGTTGGGTGGAGTAGGATCGGTGTGGTTACATATATTTCCTGTTACTGTGTTTTTGTCTTAGTCTAAGTTTGTTGTTTGTTTTGTATGTTCTTTTTGATCAATGCCTTGTTTATGACTGTTTTGACTATGATTTTGGATTGCTCTGTTTGATTCTTGATTTTTCCTAATTTTTGTCCACGATTAACTGCACGAATACTTTCTTTAATAACTTATTATTAAGCTGCTCTTGGATCTTACCTCTGTTGTCTTCACCATGCCAAAAAACCAAATGTGACAAGTTTTCAGTCGGTCGATCAAACAGGATAGCCCCGCCCACAAATCACTCAATTGGTTGAGCCAGTGTTGCTATGTTAGTTTACCCAATTAAAAACATCAATATTTTGTATTTTTGATATGTTTAAGTTAAATCATTTGATGTGCATATCAACATCGATTTCAACCCATGAGTGAAAGTCAAACTGAAGTGTGGACAAAAAAAAGCTGAAAGGCTTTTTCCATTGGTCGCTCAAACAGATAGCCCCGCCCACAAATCACTCAATTGGTTCAGCCAGTGTTGCTATGTTGGTACACCCAATTAAATACATCAATGTTTCAAAAAAACAACATATCCACTTTCACAGTGAAAGTAAAATCATATCATGCACATATGAACATCAGCATTTTGATAATTTTTTTAATTACTGCATCCTCCAAATTGCCTCCTTATTAACTAACGCATCGTCCAGTGTGTGTGTGATTGCTAAGCAGCGGCGTCCTTTGGACATTATGGCAGAAAGGTCAATCATGTTACATCACAGGGTTCAGAGCGATGTTAATCTCGTTCCGTGTGTTGGACATCTAATCCAATCTCACCTTCTCTCATCCCTGCTCTGATGTTGGAGGGCTTTACTCAAACCGCTCTGATCTGTTTCAGGCCTAGCGTAGCCTAGTGGTAAAAGATCTAAAAGGTTGTGGGATTAAACCCATTGTGCTCTTGAGCGAAGCATATATACAGTAACCTCCGCTCGCTCAGTAATAAGTGAACTGAGAGGGAAGCATCAGCTAAATGTCAAGCAGAAGAAGCGGCAGAGGAAATTTACTTCCGGCAGATGTGATGACATACAATGAATAGCCAGGGTTTTGCATAGAGACATTCGCTGTGGTTTTTGCTCAGGCAATTAACGTTTGTTAATTATGTCTTGACTTTGTGCAGTTTCTACTGAGCAGATGACTGCATTTTTTCTGTGTGTTTTTAAGATGAGAAATGAGAACTATTTAAGGTGTTTATTATTTAGTTGCATCATGCAGTCACTTTATTTGGTATTCAATTCATTTCAAGTTATATTTTGTACTGTAAATGACTGATGTTTTAGAGGGAGACAAACCAGCTACTGTATGTCACTTCCTGCAGGATGATGTCATCACTAAAATGTAATTTGGTTTAAAGCGCATGTTCATACGAAGAAATACAGAAGTGTTTGGGAAAAAAAAAAACTTAATAAATTGCATGTTTTTAATTTTAGAAGCTACTGTATCAATTGTTAAAGATATTTTAGAAGAAGCCAAAGCATATACAGTTGAAGTCAGAATTATTACCCCGCCTGTTTATTTTTTTCCCCAATTTCTGTTTAACTGAGAGCATATTTTTTTCAGCACATTTCTAAACATAATAGTATTAATAACTCTTTTCTAATAACTGATTTATTTTATCGTTGTCATGATGACAGTAAATAATATTTTACTAGATATTTTTCAAGTCACTTCTATACAGCTTGAAGTGACATTTAAAGGCTTAACTAGGTTAACTAGGCAGGTTAGGGTAACTAGGCAAGTTATTGCATAACGATGGTTTGTTCTGTAGACTATCGGAAAAAATAGCTTAATGGGGCTAATATTTTGTCCTTAAAATGTTTTTTTTTTATTTTTTATTCTAGCTGCTTTTATTCTAGCCGAAATAAAACAAATAAGACTTTCTCCAGAAGAAAAAATATTCTCAGACATACTGTGAAAATTACCTTGATTTGTTAACATCATTTGGCAAATATAAAAACAATTATAAAAATTCAAAGGGGGACTAATAATTCTGACTTCAACTGTATGTCACTTCCTGCAAGATGATGTCATCTGCTTTGTTTGCTTTTACAAAAAAAGCTAAGATGGAAATTGATATTTAATAAGCATGATAACTTTATTAGTAATTAATTTATTAGTAATTACCTAAACATAGATGTATTAGAATAGATTTAGTATAGATTAGTATAGATCTGTAGATTTATTAGCAATTAACTAAACATTTATTCAAAAATACTGCAAGATTTATGTAAAAAAAATTAAGAAATGTTTTTTAAAATGACTTGATTAATTGCTTGTTTTTCATATTAGAATATACTGTATCAATTGTAAATGATATTTTAGAGGGAGCCAAACCACATATGATGGAATTTATATTTAAAACAATAATTAAATTAAATATACATTTATTAGAAATTACTGCAAGAGATTTATGTAAAAAATTAAGAAATGTTTGTTAAAAAAAATACTTTTTAAAGTAAATTGCTTGTTTTTTTATATTAGAAGTTACTATATCAATTGTTAATGTTATTTTAGAGGGAGCCAAACCACATATGTCACTTCCTGCAGAATGATGTCATCCGTTTTGTTTGTTTTTACAACAAAAAAATATAAAATAAATAGGATGGACATAGCTTGATTACAAAATAAATAAATATGTATGTATGTGTGTATATATATATATATATATATATTAGAAATTATTGCAGCATTTGTTTAGATGAAAAAAGACATAATTGTTGTTTTTTTTGTATAAAAACGTATTATAAATGTTGTATAGATAAAACAAATAAAACTAAATTCATATTATTCAGTATTTTTTTCATTAAAAAAAACATTTAAAAAGAAAGAAAAAAAAAATATATATATATATATATATATATATATATATATATATATATATATATATATATATATATATATATATATATATATATATATATATATATATATATATATATATATATATATATATATATATTCATTTTTTCTTTTTATTCAGAAAATTATTTAATATAAGTTACTGAATGCTTGGGTATCGTGAAAAACATGCTATTTGTTATTTTTACCTCAACAAACAGTTAATAATATTCTTTTTGGGAGGATTATGTACAGAAAAAGTGACAAAAATTGCATTTGCTCAAACAAAAGTACTGCAATAGTTTACTAACACATTTATTAAATAAATATGCTCTTTTAAGGTTATTACAGCAATATACTGTTATGTATGATTGTACTGAAGCTTGATATATAAAGGCTTGAACTGCATATTGGGAATGACCCTGCTCTTGTAGTGTGATAGTGCTGTGGGATTGCAAACATCTCTGTTGTTGTGCTCTTACACGCTACACATGATATGCCAAAGCAAAGTACATCAAGTACATGGAATAAATAAAACAGCGAGACAGGTGGGAGTCGAGCTAATGACCCTGTGCAGGATAGAGTTCTCCACATTGGTGGACAGAGGAGCTGTTTTCAGCACCATGGAGAGCGTTACGGCCAGATGGAGAGATGAAACTGATCATCACATTCTGCCTTACAATCATATCTATCTATTTATCTATCTATCTATCTATCTATCTATCTATCTATCTATCTATCTATCTATCTATCTATCTATCTATCTATCTATCTATCTATCTATCTATCTATCTATCATGTTTATGTGCAAGATTATGGTTAAAACGAGTAGCTATGTTTGTCAGAACTTTATTTAACCATACGTCATTATTGTTTTAAACATTTTGCTGACTCTATATGTTAGTAACTATAGTGTATATGCCATTAATTGCTCTTTCTAACCTATTTGGGCTGTTATCTATCTGTCTATCTATCTATCTATCTATCTATCTATCTATCTATCTATCTATCTATCTATCTATCTATCTATCTATCTATCTATCTATCTGTCTGTCTGTCTGTCTGATATTGGTGTAAAGCAGTAACAATTCCTATCTGAAGTCCACCAAGTAGACAAATACAACTCCACCTGGTGCAAAACAAAGCTAAGCGATGATGTCCTTCCAATGCTAATACCTCATAACGCAAATAACTCCTTTGCTATTTAATTCTTTGGCAAACATATTGTCAACTGCTCGTCAGTGGAGGTCTAATTTGAAATATTTGTATGCTAGTCAAGTTGTGCACGAAGCATTGTAGCGGGGGGCATCGGGTTTGACAATCCCCTCCATTCACCTGACTAACGCGATTAGCGTTAAACTGCTTTAGATCAACCGTCCCAGCGCTAAAATTGGCATGGGCTGTTACCTGGTGCGAGCCACACGGGATCATGCAGTGCCACGAGAGAAAACAATAGAATAATCCGCGTGTTTCAGCCTCAAAACAAGACGTGATCTCGCAGGCAGCCAGCCACCCTCGTTCATTCTGACGGCAGACACCAAGAGCTATGTGTTTACAATGCCAACGAGTGGTGCATCATTCCCCGCGCGCACCAGCACACACACACACACACGTCTTACACAACAGAAAGCAGAATGCCCAATGATGGCAGGTCGAGACGTCCCGTGATGATGCCCACCGTGCCGTTTGCTCACCGAGATGACATTCACCCCTACTCATGCCAAGGGCATTGCGTGCGTTCCGGCTCTGGCTCCCTGAAACGCCAAGCAAAAAACCGCCGCGAACGCGCGCAGAGCCCATTTTACTGTGACCTGAGCGTGCGTGGGGAAGGTGACTTTCCGCACTCCTTACCTAAAATCACTATAGGGGTGAATGATCCAATATCCAGCCGTCTGCACCCTCTCCTGCTCTTTCTCCACGGCTTTCTGACTGCCGAACATCCGCAAGGAGAACTTATTCACCCCGGGCTGCATCATGGCTCCAAATTGCCGCTGCATAAACCCGTATTGCCTGGACGCGGCGTCTATATCGTCAAAGCCGACCATGGCTTCTTCCCGGTCCCCCTTGCCACCCACTGAGTTGCCGTGGTCTTTCATGTTCTGACTCCCCATGCTGTTCTTCAGGATCGAGTCTTGCCTCTGGAACACATTATTCCCATCCGCTTTCTCCTCTTTGTTGCTCGAGAACGAATTGGATTTGTCTTCCATGGCGGTTTCAGAACGTGCTGTCTCCGGGTGCGGAGGACAGGCTACGCGCAAAAGTGGAAAGGAGCAGCTGGCGGCTCTTCTGTTTCATTGGACGTCCCTCAAACCACCGCTGCCTCCAGTGCGAGTGCTGCTGCACGACTGAGAGAAGCAGAGAGTAGTGGTGAACCCGACGGGATCAGCTTTCTTGGGCTGCTGCCATCTACTGTCGGGATTGAGCGCGGCGCGGCTCTCCAAGCGTGTCGCGGACGCGGACGCAGTGCCATAATGCGCCGCGCGGATCTGCTTCCAGACTGAAAGGATGCCAAAGGAATACAGTTTGAACATGATGTTGTAGATGCAAATCAGGGTTATGTAAAGCATTTGGGAAGGGCATGTTTTATTATGAGGTGAACTGAAATGGTAATTATATTATTATGAAAGACTCTGTGACAGGATGTAAAATCTCACGTGTCATAGGGATTTGTAAGTCGTGTAGCATATATATAATATATATATTATTATTATTATTATTATTATTACTATTATTATTATTATTATTATAAATTATTAATAATTTTTTAAAAATAAATATACTATTGTTGTTATGCTGAAATATGTCATGGTAAACGTTTCATTTTTAACATTCTTTTTTATTTGCTCAGAAAAAATAATTCAAACATTACACACAAATTATATATGCAACATATTGTTCGCCGTCTTTAATTTATCCCTAATAATACCCTAATTTTCATAAAAATATAGATATATTTAAAAGAGATGTTTAGATATGTTTGTAAATAATTCACTCTAATAAACTAAAATGCTAATCGTTTAATTGTGTGTCATAAATTAATGCCATCCAGTAAACAGATACATTACATCATAGAAATAAAACAGTCTTCATATCATTTCGAGTCTCTTTTTACTTGATGGCTTCAATCCAAATCATGATTACTTGAACAAAAATCTGTCATGCATTCAAAAACAAATTTGCATCATGTAACAGTTTAGAAATAAAAGTCTCTATACAGTAAAACTAATATAAAACTAAATTGACAAATTGTATAGAATCATCATCATCTAAATTCATTGAAGAAAAAAAAACTCCAGAGTCAATGATCATAGTGGTATCAAGTGCTTTTATTCAAAGCCAGTTACATAGAAGGAGCATCACTCGCATTGTTTCATAGAAAAGCCAACAATATCCCATGCCATGTGTGTAAAATTAAGACATAAGTGAAAAAAAATAAAGCAGAAGAGGGATTTTCTTTGCAAAATGCATTAATTTAAGTGACTGTGGTATAAACAGTGTAGCCAAATCTCTCCCGTCTGACGCATTTCTACAATCACATGATAGCCTACATAATACTGTCAGCCCTATAGTGAATCACATAGCTATTTTAAATTCAAAACAACACAAGACCTGTAAATCTGGTTGCAGGCTCTAAATCCACTGTTAGCGTGGGGATAATTTCAATTGCAAGTAAAAAGAAAAAAAATGTTGACTAAATACATTGAGATATGGCTATAACTATAGTCTTTTCAGAACTTCTTTCATCAGATCCTTTCAACCATGAGATCCACTCCATATTAAAACTGGAAGCACTGGACCTGAACTGATCGTTTATTGCAAAATAAAGCTTTGCTTGTGAATAATCTGATATTATTTGTGAGAAATATTAGAGTTTTCCTAAAATTGATGTTGCACAAAAAACACAGTATTTAAATCTGCATTTTGTCTGCTATCTTATGAATACGGTTTCAATCACTTGGCTGTGATTGTTCACTCAAAAATTTATTTTGCTGCTTGTTCAGAATACTTAATTAAAATGAGCTGAATCATCACAATTCTTGAGTATTTTTTTTTTTTTTTTTTTTGGTGGGACAACTTCATTGTTTAATGTTCAGTCCTCTTAAATTTGTAAAAACAATTAAGTAAACTTAACTGATATGTGTTGGGACAACGTGAAGAAATTATGTGGAACCCAGCATTTTTACAGTGTTACAGGCAACTGATTCATTAACAAAAATAGGTGTATGTTTATGATGATTGACACTAAAAATAATGATTCATTGGATTTACTAGATTTTTTTAAGCTAAGTGGTTGGAAACAATCTATATTGGCTGAATTTAAATAAATTGTAAAATAACAGCCGTTAAATGACATAAATCAACCTTAAAATGACAGCCGTTAAATTACAGTAATTTACCATAAAATAATGGCCATCAAATTATAGAAATTTATCGTAATTAAAAAACTTCAGGAAATTTCAGTCATTTGACGTTTGTTATTTTAGGCTTTTCCGACGCCCAAGTTGCAGAAAAAAAAAAAAAAGTAAATTCACAAATGTTAAATAACAGAAATTCCCTCGTAATTCAAAAATAAGTTTATTTTTTGTTTTAAAGTAGATTGAGCTTATAATATTTAATATGAAGCTGTACATAAATATTGTAGAAATCATATTACATGAAATCCATAAAATTATACATTTTAAACAGTGCTATAATTTAAATAATCAGTCATTAAACTGATTAATTCTTGAGTTTTTGGGGAAGACAACTTCATTGTTTTAGGTTTAATCTACTTAAATCTGTGAAAACTATTACGTTAACTTAATCGATTTGTGCTGGGACAACATGAAAAAATTATGTGGAACCCAGCATTTTTAAAGTGTTTCAAAAAACTGAATAAGATGTGAAAATAGGCTTGTGTTGACGAAGATGGACACTAGAAATAATTATTCATTGGACTTACTAAATTTTTAAAATCTATATGGGCTGAATTTAAATAAACCGTAAAATAACCGTAATTTTTTCCCCCATAAAATAACAGCCGTTAAATTTTATAAATTTACCTTAAAAATTAAAAAAAAAATTAAATTAAATTAAAAAAATAAAAAAAAATTAAAAATTAAATTACAGCAATTTACCATAATTACAAATTCACAGGAAATGTATGTAATTTGATGTTTGTTATTTCAGTTTTTTTCCAACAGCCCGGCTGCCAAAAAGAAGCGTAAAATGACGAATGTTAAATTACAGAAATTTCCCATAATTCGAAAACAAGTTGTTGTTTTTTTTTACAGTAGAGTTTCTGTATTTTCTTGAGCTTATAATATTTAATTTGGAACTGTACTCTGAAAAAAAAAATGATGTCTGCAAAACAATTTTTTTGTGTTGAATTTAAGCAAACAAATTAAATTGAATAAAATTCTACTTAATTTGTTTGTTTAAATTCAGCCCAAATAAAATGTTTACAGCCACATAACCTAAAAAAAAAGAGTAAATCCAAGGAATCATTTCAGAATAATTTTTTGTTCATAAATATTGTGGAAAGTTACATAAAATCCCTAAAATTAGACATTCTAAACAGTGGTATATTCCAAATAAACTGATTATTTCTTGAGTTTTTTGGCGTGAAAACTTCATTGTTTTATGTTTAATCCACTTATATTTGTGAAAACAATTAAGTTAACTTAATTGATTTGTGTTAGAACAACATGAAGAAATTATGTGGAACCCATCATTTTTACAGTTTCAGAAAACTGATTAAGAGACCTGATGAAAACAGGCTTGTGTTTATATGATGACGAACACTGAAAAAAAAAATATTCATTGGATTTACAAAGTTTTTAAGGTAAGTGGTTTGGAAACAATCTATATGGACATTTAATGTGTTCAATTGTTTAATTACAGCACATATACATTGTTTGCTACCACTTACCTTAAAAAAATGTATGTTTTTTCAGTGAAGGTTTGTGCATGCTGGACACTTGTGTGGCAGTGGCGGACATGGGTTGATATCTGGTGAAAAAGGATGAATTGATGAATTCCAGACCAAGTCCACCTGCTACCCTGCAGTCCTGCTGTGATCATGGTGTGTGAGGCTTAAAACGCCACACTTTATTATTTCGCATGCATAGAGTTTGAACCTGCTCTCAAAAAAATAAAAAGTAAAATTAGAAGAGGTGGTAGATTTTGTTCATCTGAAAGAGTTGTAAAGTCAGAAATCATTCTAATAAGCTGATTTGGTGATTTAAAATATGCATTTTATCTACATTGAAAGAATTTTGTCACTTTGTAATTTTAATTTTTTTTTAGGATTCTTTGATTAAAATGTAAAATTATTTAATTTTGTTTTTCCTGAAACAGTAAACATGTTTTGTCTGTTATTTCAAATTTATTTGCAGGTAATCTATGTTTTCTTAATTTATTAGAATTAAAAATAAACAATGTAATAGTGACTCATTCTCACAATTCTTTCTTGTAAACATGGAATTGTGAGAGATAAAGTCAGAATTGTCTAATTTAATGGCAGAATTGTGAGATATAAATCATAAGAATAAGATGTAAAGTCATAATTGCAAGATAAAGTCAGAATTCTGAGGTGAAAAATTAGAATTGTTGAATTAAAAGTCTAAATTAAAGAGATATAAATTCAGAATTGCTAGAAATAAAAATAATTAGAAGATGCTAAGTCAGAATTGCAAGATCTGAAGTCATAATTGCAAGATATAAAGTCAGAATTTTCCAATTTAAAGTCAGAATTGCAAGATTTGAACTTAGAATTACTAGAAATAAACTCGCAATAAGAAGATGTAAACTCAGAATTGCAAGATATGAAGTCAGAATGGTGAGAAACTTTGAATTGGAAGATAGAAACTCAAAATTAGAAGATATAAAGTCAAAATAGCGAGATGTAATAATCAGAATTGTCAAATGTAAAGACAGAATTTAGAGAAGTATAATTAGAATTGTGAAATGCGAAGAACTGTTCCAGAAAGTGGCTAGCACAAAAACAGAAGCCAAAAAAAAAATAAATAAGTAAATAACAAGGTGAGAATGTGGTTAAATTTGAAAACGTGGAAAAATCAGATAAGGGCTTTTTTTTCTGGATTGATTTTTAAAACTGTCAGTTGGGTTTAGGCATGTAGGTGGGCGCTGGTCAATCAGTGCTTTTGAAAACACTATTGGTTGGGTTTATTGATGGGAAGTTCGGATCATTTTACTGACTCGGATC